AGAAAAAATAATTGGTGGATATAATCCATTGGAATGGAATTTAACCACTAGATGGTATCAGACACAAAATAGCTTTTTATTTCGATTTGACTCGAATGGATCCGACGGATTTATAAGTAAAATTAGAAATACAACATATAGTATTGGTTGCCTTCCACAAGATGGTCCATGTTTTGGAAATGATTTAAGGTTATTCAATACATCTTATGGTGAAAAACATGTATATGAACACGCTCTGTTGAGCACTGATAGTACAGATATTACTTTTGATGTTGATGATTATGAAGTATTTCAAATTTTGCAAAAATAGTTTATTTAATTTTATTCATGCTTCGTTATCTTTTATAAAAATCGGTAGACATAATCGGAGAGTATGTGCAAAATAAATAAAGTAATAAAATATAATATTAATTTATAAATTCTTTAGCTTTACCTTAAAATGATGAAAAGCTTGCATAAAATTAGCAATTAAAAGATTAATTTACTTTTAACGCCTATTCTTTAATGCATAGGGAATTTTAGCCGGAATTATATCAATACTCAACTCAAAAAAATCCAACATATAGCCTAAGTTGAAATACATGTATTTCCTGTGCTTCTTTAATGTAGATGTAGAAACGTTTCAATACATGAGTGGAAAGCTCCACAAATTTGTTGCAAATTTATATTTAAATACACCACCTTCTATAATATGAACTCGTAATGATAATAGTTATAATTTTATTTTAAAATACAATATATGTTTTTAGGACTTACTGATTCTCTAATTATTATGAAATAGCTATGCTAAAACATATATACCATATTTCGCGCACATTATTTTTAATTTAATAAATTAAACATGCGCTATCATAATATATAGTTAAATTAGAATATTTTTTAACTTTAAATTACAATTAAGAAACTATAATTCTTCGTGTTATCACTGTCAATGAACAATAATTCTAACAAAAATATATCAAATGATAATACGAAAAATTTATCTCATCACTACTTGAAATATGAAAATTTTTTCTTTCTCCGCCGGATCTCAACAGACCATGCTATTCCAACTAATCTTAATGACAATAATGTTACTATTAATCGGCGAAAATATAATTTAATGCTAATATGGGAATGAATAAGAAAAAACCATAAAGAATAATATATGAAGAAGTAGATTTCATTAATCAAAAGGGTGAATACAGTGGTCGAACAGGGTATGTTCACCTGTGGTCTATAAAGTACAAGTAAAAATAGAAATGTAACTCTTTGAAATCAACCATATTTTAGTATTGGATCTTTACAAGATGAATGCCAGTTTGTCATGTCAAAGCCGGTGAATTGCTTTGTTATGATGACACTGAAATCTGAAATCGATAAGAGTAATAGATGTGCTAACTTTTGTAGACTTTACATGGTCGACAAGTATAAGAGTTGGTCAAGATTAAATCCAAAGTAACATGCTGAATATTTTTTTCTTAATCACTCAACCTAGGTTTACTTAATAAAACTCGATTTGTCAGTTTTTTTTGGCACACAATAAATTTTTGAATCGGCGATCTAAAAATGATTGGTCTTTCTCACGTGACTCTATTGTCTAAAATAATAATATACTGTACACGTAGTCGAAAATGCAACTTTTTTTGAAAAAATTAACGCTTTGACCAGAGAGTAAATAATTTTGCTTAATTTCGCTTTCGTCAACCCCGCTTTGTGTGCAAGGTGAAATTCATATTACATATGAATTTGCATCGAGTTCACTTTATCTCTGATATGGAAAAGCAATCGACACAAATAACACGATTGTGTATGATATGATTCATTATGTATATTTTAGATTGTTTCTCACGAGCATAAGGTCTTTAATTGTTGTTAATTTTAAACCAACTTATTCTCTATTATGACAGCTGCCGCGAACAATCTTAAATGCGAATCATTCCTCGAGAACGACTTATTCAATCATCTGTATATATTTTACATGTGGTCTGAATTACAGAAGATCGGGAATCGAGAATCTAATGACTATAACGAGGATGTTGCATTCCAATTTATATTTTCGCATTTTGATTTGATTTAATTGTCTGTCTTATCATTTTGTCAAGTTAGTGAGAAACAAAGCGCGAAATTTTTGAATTAGAACTTTAAGGGTTTTATAAATTTTTTTCAAGTGGAAATAACCACCAAAAGAGTAGCTAAAATCTTTGAATGGGAATAACCCACCTAAAGGGTTATCAAAATCTTTAAATTATACATGTAATAACAGGTTACCACATACATGTAATAATATCCATTATTTTTGTGGAAATTAGCAAAAATGAAAAGAAAAAGGCCTATCGCTATCGATTCATATGAATTAGATTTTTGTAATTCTTTCGACCACTGTATACTCGATGATTTTGTGCTGCGCAATGTAGTTTCAAAAGTAAAAGGTTCTTGGGAACACTTTCGTCACATTGCAATCATAAATATATGATAAAAGAACAGGTTACTTCGACCCAAAGTTAACTTCAAGAACTGCCGGTACAATACCATTTAACAACCCCATTCTCGACATTAAAATGGATAGTTAAATTCACACGCGATTATAACATACTATCGTCATTGTTCATAAACATTTAGCGTTAACATCAAAGTTTGTTTAGTCCATTTCACAATAAACAACTCCAAATATAGAGAAGTGGGGATTATAAATATTTTATATTTTATACATATCGATATAATGTGTGTTAAGATTATTTACAATATTTCTATTATTAATACAAAGGGAGCATTTAATCTACAATTAATTTTAATTAGGAATCGAATTGTTTCCAATGTGGCGCCGACGGTGTCGGCATGAAAACCTCTTCATCAAAAGTTGGCTTTCTATTCATTATATATAATTGAGCTGCTTCGACATTTTCAAATTCCATTTGAAAAACCGGTTGAGCTGGTATGGAAGGTACAGCTCTTGTATTTGATGGTACGGAAATTTTTTCCTTGCGCGGACCCTTTGGATGAAGTGGTGGCGGTGATAGTGTTGTTGTTTCGATATTCGAGTTGTTGCGCGGTAATTGTGGTATCTGCGCTGAAGTGCATGTTGTCGTTGAAGCGTCAACCTTTTCAGTCTCCAAATGATGATGATGGTTATGATTACGACGACGATGCTTTGAACATTTTTTCC